TAAAAAATAGTGAAATCTGCTGAAGAAAGCACTGGGGTGACTCTCACTGGGGCCATTGTGCCTCAAGGCTGATGTTTGAGTGCAGTGTGTTTTCCAGCAGAGACACATACTTTGTGCTTTCCCTTGGAGACTTCATGAGTTTTATCAAATGACTGCTTAATTTAAAAAAAGAAAACCAGCAAAACACAGTCTCTTGGAGCAGGGTTTGGAACCCAGGTTTTCCTATTTCCCAGAGAGTGCCCTTAATGGTTTGGCTGGAAAGTAACATTCTTGGCCTACTAAATCTTGAATTCCTTTATGAAGGTGGAACAGCTCCAGTAGAAAGTACTAAAAGCACCGCAATTTCTTCTGCCTCACATAGTCTGTACATCTGCCCGCTAGAGCATTCTCCCAGACAGAGGGAGGAGAGCTGAACTCCTTTTGGCTGAGCAGACCATAGGACCCAGGGTTCCCAAGTCTTGTGTGAGTGTGCTAGACGTGGAGCTGTTGGTTAGAAAAAAGCACAGATCTGAGAGTTTAAAAAAATATAAACAACAACAACAACAAAAAAATAACCCCCCCAAGGCTGTCCTGTCGTGCTTTAACAGGCAGGCATAATTGTGCTTCCTTTTTGTAAAAAGGCTCAAACACAGGCTGCTGAGGGCCTTTTGCATTCACCTGAACATAAGCACACTCAGCTTGGAGAACAAACAGGAGGAGGTGGAAGATTGCGTGCAGTCGCTGATCAGTGATATTACTGGTATTACAGAGTTACAGAGGGATAATTTGCAGAGATTGCAGAGATGACAGGGTGGCAGAGCTGCTGTGGGTGAATGCAGACTGGCTGGGTGGCATGTGAGGGTTGATAAGCGTGCAGATGTTCTTTGTGCAAAGGAGCAGCTCAAGCGTGTGGAACTCTGTGGTGGAAAAAAGGAATGTGCTTGGGCTTGTTCAAGGAAATATCCTTGGTAAGATCATCTGAGGCATTGTCCTGAAGAGCAAAGTATGGCTGTCCAAGCTTATGGCTTGTCTGGGGCACATTGAGTGAAGATGAATTGAGGGCTGCATCTATGAAGGTTGTCCCAAAAGTAATGCTCCTAATTATTTCCATGGAAAATATAACCAATACAAAGAGCATAAAAACACTCTAGTAGGACAAATTCTTGGCTACAAAACTTTTTCAACACAGTCATCACCATTAGCTCTGCATTTTCACCAGTGATGAACAAGAGCCCGCACACTGCGCTCACAGTTACCTGCAGCCACTGTCAGCACTGCTGAAATGCACTTCCCTCTACCTCAAATCCACTGTTTGGTCTCCATAAAAAGTTCAGCAAGCTTTAATGAATTTCAGTGGGTGCAATTTTTCCTGTGTGGAGGAATTCACTTCCACACCTTTGCTCCACTCGCACTTCCATGTCAGATGCCGTTTTGTCAGACTGCCCTTCTGCTGTCATCTGTTGCATGACAACAAAACATAATGGAATATTGATGGGAAGGATCAACTTCTACTGCCATACCACCAGCATCCACCCTAGACTTTGTGGGCCAACAATAATAAAATAGGAAGCATTACTTTCAGAGCAGCCCTCATAAAATATATAATATAGTGAATGTACATAAATAACAAAACAAATTATTATTTTTTAAATTAAAACATATAAAAAAGAGAGTGACAGAACCATAAAACTAGTGGGATATTTGACCATGTCTTTGTGAAACTAAAGTATCAGGCTTGTTTGATGGGAGTAGCTGCAAGTCTAATGAGCTGTCAAGGAGCTCATCAGAGATTTTTGATGAAATTTGATGCTTCCTGAAGCTTGAAAACAGTTGTTCACAAATTTGTGTGCTGCCAAAAACGACATGAATAAGGCAGATTATGAAGTGAGAGGTATTTCTCTCTGGGAAATATAAAAATCCAGTAAAAAGTCATGATCAAATTTTGCATTGAAAGTCTATACATACCCTTTGAAAATTTGCAACTAATGTACTTTGACTGAAAATGGAATCACAAATAAACCAAAAATATGGAAATATGGACTGTGTGTAGAATACAAGGTGGGTGAAAACTGGCTTGTTTTTGCTCTTGAAGTGTTGTGATTAGTTATTCTAAATTCAGCTGGTTACTGAGTACTGATGACTTTCCTAAAGGTTGTATGTGGGACAAATAATATTTAGAATCCTCATGAATGACTTGGACAATGGGACTTAAAGTTTACAAAGTTTACAGATGGCACAGAACTGTGATTTAAAGGCTGCAAGTCAATGCTAACACGTAGCAGGACCTTTGCAGTCTGGAAGTAAGGCCAGATAAGCTCCAGAGGCCCATGCAATCATGCACTAATCTATGACTCTCTTCCATTTCAGCAACCAGGCTCTCAACATAGAGAAGATATGAAATAAGGGCGAGAACAATGTCACATCACTGAGATGTGATTTATTCGCTTCTGTGAGGGCTGCATTTGTCCAAATGACAGTCTAATATGATATTGATGGACCAGTGAAATTGGTTTACAAAAAAGAATTACAACAAAAATATTTTTACAAGTAATATTTTTATATATACCGTTGACTTATGTGATACAAAAGAAATATCTCAAAATCTATGTATATATCCAGGATATAAAGAGAGGTAATTCAAGAATGATCTGACCAATTTTGAAAAATGTTCTATTTTAAATGCTATGAATAGATCATATTTAGATGCTCATAAATTATGTTAGTTGAGAGTATAAGATAGCAAAAGATGCTTAATAAAAAGATTATGGTGTCTTGCAAATGAATAGCTAGCTACTTAATGACAGGATATTGCAATGTAGATAGTATTGAATATTCATTGAAATTAATGCTCATGGTCATGTGAGTATTATTAAACTTTAGCAAATAATCTTTATGGCTTCTGAAACAGGCTCATTTTAGACAATCATTATGCCTTAGTGGTTAAATGAAAATGAGATAGTAGATATATAATGGCAAGTACCATTGAATTTACTTTTAAAATAAGCTTTCTAGATGCTTAGTACTAACACTAGGCTGAGAGAAATGGAGCTGTGAAGAATTTCATTATCATAGCAATGCTCAATGTTTCATTTGATCTTAATGGAAAGTTTATGAAAGACTGCTATTAAGTCTGGGTAGGGGAGAAGATCGCTATCATTCTTCTACGAGTATAACCAAAGGGCTTAATTTTCATTAGCTCTTGAATTGTTCCTTTATCTTCTCTTGCTTCTTAGCAGCATGTGTTTGTCAAAAATAATGGATTGAAATTGGAGGGCAAGTGGGGTTTAGACAGCAATGATTTTGTTTTCAAAAACAAAACTATTCATTTTTATGAAGGGAACAAATTAATTTCTGAGTGGTAATTTTACTACCACAAGAAGTATGCATGCCACTCCTACCAAGAGAGTTGAGTGTATCTTGAAGTTTTGTCTGTTGTCTAGGACATGGAGAATTGGCCACTGGCAACCATTCAGAACCATTTAAGGGAAAGATTTTCTCATATGTCTTGAATTTGGAAGTGGTGGGTTTTGGACATCTCATTCATTAATGTCGCAAGTTATGACTCAAGACTCACCAAAACTTGTATTTCCCACATTTACTGAATTGTGCATTGTGTGCTTTTTTAATGACTGTGCCAGATTTCAGGGAGATGTCTGCATGGAGTGTTCTAGACGCAAATTTTTCCATGCTTCAAAAAAAGTAAAAATAAAATTTAAAAGGCATTTTTGTCCACTGATGTAAAAAAACCATTACAAAGAAAAGCAGTTATTTAGCATGAGCAAACCGTAGCAATGCAAAGAAGAAATGAGAGAAGGAGCTGTACTGATTTGAGTTTCAGTCATCCAAAAAGATGGAAAGTTTAGATGCCTGAAAGGTGAACTGTGGTAGCTCAAGTCCTGCCTTGGACTGCAGCATATATGGTTAAGCAAGGGATTTCTGTGGGGCAGATGTGTGAGCTGGAGAATGTGGAAAAGACTTTCTATTAATGTAAATAAGCAGCTGAAATAATTACAGCTATCATATTTGAAGCAAGTAAGTATTTTGAGCAATAGGTTTTTTATGCTCTGTTAATACTGTTTGGCAGTAGGTGCTCCCTACTTTATGTGCTTTAGATGGGGAACTCTTCAGTCTTTACTGGATTTAAGTCCCCTTATCCTCTTCCAGAGCTGGACTACAGGCCACGTTTCCTTAAAAAAAACAAAACAAAACAAAACAAAAAAAACCAAATACATACAGTTGCTGTGATACATACAGTTGCTTTGTGATTAACATGCAGCCTTATGAGACAAAAAAACCTGTATTCAGAGTCCAAAAAGAGTCCATTTGCAGTAATTTGTATTGTGTGCCTAAACTGCATAACTTGTCGAGTTTGTAATGCCTTGCCCTTCTTTGCAGGTCTTTGCATTTCTTTTGACATTTCTGCCTTCAGTGGCTTTTCTTTTCCAGAGAACTAACAGCACTGCCACAGAACACTCTTTCTTCTAAGACTGAGTTCTGCTCAAGGAAAAATATTCAAAGAACAAATAAAGCCCAAAATAATTAGAAAATAATTTTTGAGGTGTAGTACCCTGCATATTAAAGAAAAAAAAAAAAGGATCATTTATATCATCTGAAAAGTCCTCTGAACTCACTGTTTGTAGCTGTACATTTAATATATATTTTGTCTGTGAAGTATCAGTAAGGTATAACTATGGGGATGAATAAGGAGAATAAAAAAAAAAAATTTCTATACGATGTCTTCTCCTGGATATCTAAACTGTAAATATTGAATATAAATGTAAATTTATAGATCTTTGATAACCAAAATCAAGACTCTTCTCTACAGTTCCAACATAGCATAAATAAATAGATACACATATGCAGTAAAACTGGATTTAAGAAGGTGTTTTTCACACTCTTTACAAAAATAGGGGAATTGCATTTATTTGAAAATTCCCTTGCACTGAATGCAGCTGCTAGGATGCAGTATTGTCACATATCATATGAGAAACCAGGATAACTGAGTGAATGTTTTGTTGCAGGCAACTGAACACATGCTCATGGGAATGACTTACAGCTTACAAGAATGGAGGCTACAGGCTATAGCTACAGTTACAGAATACATCATTTCAATTTCTGTGTGAAATTCACGAAGTCCAACCATTAATAAATAGTTTGCTTTTCTATTTTCTGCCGCATACCTTCAGTGAGGTCACCCATATGGAGATCAACAACAACTTTTCTTGTAATTCTTGAAATGGCAATTACAAGATGAGTTATTCCTGAAAGACAACTTGAACATAGTATTTTTTCTTTAATTTCCAATGAACGATGTGTTGAAAGAATTATCAGCAGAAGCCAGAATTGAACAGTAAATTATATTTTTTCCTTCATGAGATGTATATGCTGGTCATGTGCTGGGGAAGGACTTGGGATTTTTAGAAGAACATTTGCAATATTATACTGCAAAGTTTCAGAAGAGTCCATTAAGCAAATTGGGAATTTATATATGGAAGAAGCATCGCATTCAAGGCTTCAGAGCTTACTATGATTAGAGTGTTCCTTGTGAGAGATTTGTGAAAATTTCTTTATCCTGGGCATCTGCCAAACTTCAGGCTTTAATGCTCTGAGATTCTGAGTCACAGGAGCAGGCTGACTACTCACACAGCATGTTGACTTGCCGGGAGGTGGGTGAAGGAGGTAGTAGGCAGGTTAGAAAGAAGAGGGACATGAACATTAATCTCATCATTCTGTAATAAATTTTGCTCCACAGCTTCCATGGCTTCAGGTTTTTTATTTATTTATCAAATTTGCCATGAAAAATAGGACGCTTTAGAGATGTGAGCTCTTTTCTTTTTCAGGCTGATGACAAAAGAACATGTAAATTCTTGGTATAAAAATGCTAGAAAAATAAAGGTAAACCTGCTACTGAACATGGATATCATATATAGCATCAGTCCATGATAGCTGTCATTTGAAATGAGTAGGTTGTGGTCAGAAAATAACTTCTTTCAATTCTTTAATTTGCTAGAAATCTCCCCATAGTGGGTCTCTGTATAACTGCTTTAAGGTTGCTGAAGGTAGACTAACTTTTCTGCATCATGTTTTATAGATCCTGACTGTACAAGATTAGTGTTTCCTCCTGAAAGTCATTAGATAAGGAGAAACTAAATACATACTAGGCAATGACAGCATGTACAAGAACTAGTTAACCAGATCAGATGGTTGGAAACAAATATTCAAACTTATCAGATACAATACGTGAGGTGCCTACTACAAGCATGCTTGAATGTTTTTTGGAGGGCCATGTAAGAACCTAGTGGGTTTTGATAATGTAGACAAAAGCTGCTAAAAATCGGGACATGGCTACAGAATTATGACTGAACATTGGATCCTGAAGTTATTTAAAAAAAAAAAAGAGAAAGTATTGGAATGTATCCACCTTTGGTATTTTAACATTCACAGGTACTGCTTTTCATGTGGGAGATGAAGACTAAAGCCCTGCAGATCTACTTCATCAGACTCCCATCAGCCGTAACTGAAGATGCCTGTACTTGGAGTCAGTTAAGAACTAAGACACACATTAGCCTAAACTGGTTTCAGTGCTGAGCTTACCCTGTCTGTGTATATAATTTTATATCACTCTGTTTGACATTCATAATGGAGGGCATGGTCAAGACATTTCTCAGTGATAACTTTCTGTTCTTCTTTTGTCCCATATAAACTTGCCTTCAACATACAACAACTACATGAAGTTCAGGCATAGCCTAGCTTTCTATCAAGATTGCAGCTAAATTGTCCTATGTGAGATTTTGAATTGTTTAGTCCCATGTGAAGGTTCAGATGTGGATGTATGCTAGTGTGTAGGATGGCATTGATTTGTGGCTACTGATTCTCCTGTACATAATAAAAAACTGAGAAAGCATTGACATAGGAAAGAGTTTATGTCTGTAAACAGGTTTCTATGATGTTCCTTGTGATTTCTCATGGAGAAAGAAATGAGACCATTAACATTATAAATTTTGACTTCATCCAGAATGCAGGCTAGAGATCCAGACTACCTCCGTATCTGCTCCATAAAAAAAGTATGTATAGATATGGAAGTAAAACAACATAAAATAATTGTTTGGATTTTTTTTGGTTTTGCTTTTTTGGAGGGGGAAGGAGATGGTTAATCTAGGCTAGAGGATGATGTCCAGAAAGAGCTAGGGAATGAGCACAAGTAGTAGGTCTCAGAGCAGTAGCTGTTAACTTGCTTTCTGGTTTTCCTCCAGCTACCTCTCCTAGACTGTCTAAACATGTTTGAGGTGACAATATACTATAGAGTCTGTTTCCAAAGTTCAGTACCAGCAAAGCTGCAGTAAATCTCTTTTCATGTACAGTTCTCCGCCTCTATCCTAAAAGCCTGTCACCATCAAATACTCTTGTAGGCCATGCAAAATTATAACCATGGTACTTCCATCTCAGATACTTTGAAAGGAGACAAGAAGGAGAACAATAAATCTCTCTTAAGAAGTCAAAGCCCTAGCTCTAGCTCCCTACTTCATAGTCCTAGCAGAACTATGAGAAGTGTGCTGTAGTGCATCATGACTGTTGGGCCTTACTACTAGAATTCATCAGCCACAGATGCCTGCTGGAAGCAGACTTGTGCTTTCTTAGTCCTTGATGAGAGACTGCACAACGCATAGAAAACACTGAGCTAGTTCTTGGACTACTGTGGGAAGTACCTTTCAGCTGCTAATGGTACAGAAGTAGATTTGTCATTGATGAAACCAGTGTCCTTAAACAAGTCACATTTGCTGTTCATGACACCTGTATTATCCACAGACCTCCTTCCTGGGGAGTAGGATCCTGGGGAGGTTATAGCAGAAGAGCTGCTAGGATAAAATGGTGTTCTTCTCTTCTGATTTTAATGTTCCAGAGCCTGTTCGTGCTGGTTGGATGCCTTCTCGTGTGTTTTTCACTTGAAGTAGGGAGGGGCCTCCAAAAAACCCTTCAAAGCCCAAGAGTTGTCATAATCTTTTTAATACTCCTGAACTGTAGTGTTTGCTTCTTTGCTTGCCTTCCTGCTGCTGAAAAAGCAACAGCAACAACAACAATACAACAGCAATAACAAAAATAGGCATTTGTTATCATGACATTATTTCCTGTTGAACTAGAAGTTTTAAGATAACCTGACATGAGGTTAAACAGCAATAAGTAAGGTTATGGAAGGTTTTGGGGTATTTCAGAGGTGAGGAAAAGCAGTGATGTTCACAGATATTATTTGTTTTACACCATTTTATTTATATATTGTGGAGAATCAAATAAAAGTAGAGCGAAAAGAACTGCTAGTTAAACAGAAAATTATATCTACCAAACCATCTGTTTCTGTACTGCTATAAATTAGTTGCAGTGAGTCTGGAGGAATCTGTTCTTTAGTGAGGCAAGGAAGCAATTCAAGCTTTTACTTTAGAAGATGAAGAACTGGGGACATATTTCTTCAGTCTTTCTGAAGGTGCTACCTACCAGCCCTCACCGCAAGGTAGATTTCTGTTATTTTCATTTCATTTCTGGAGACTGTATGGACGAAGTGCTGCCTTGCCTCTTTCTGAATCACACGTAATTGCAGCTGATCAGCATATATATGCATGAATTCATTCTGTTTCAGTGGGGATTTTTTAGGTTGAAATCTGCGCATTGCAGTTTTTGATGAAACAAGAAAAAGAGAGAAATGATGGAAACAAAATGGAGGGAGAAGGCTTAAAACTTCCCCTAAACATCATTATAGGAAGCAGATTTACTTGAAGGTTCTACAGACAACAAAGAGGACATTTATTTCCACTGTACTTTTTACACTTCAATCTAAGTAAATATTGCCTAAGGCAGGAAAAGGAAATTATTTTTCCTTTTGATGGTATTTGAGGTAAATTTTTATATATTTTCTAAGTGCCTTTATTTCTTATTTTACCTTTGTAAGGACAATATTTCCACCTCTCAGGCTCTTCAGGCTTTTTATTCGTCCACTGTGTGAGGATGCCCCAGCTTAGACAGCATTCATCTATCACAGAGTTGACTAGATCAAGCTATGCCCATGACCTGGGGGCAGTAGGCCTCTGCCCTTCCCCCCCTGCCCAATCCCAGAAAATGGGAAGGAAGGAAGGAAGGGAGGGAGGAAAAGAACAGCGGCAACAATCTATGGAGGGAAACTTATTTTACTATAATACCAGAAAAATACAAGATTACACAATATAATACAATTTAATTGAAATTGAAACTAATAAATCAGACAAGGTAAGAGAGAGTTCCCGGAACTAAGTCAAACCTGAAAAGGCTAGGAAAGCACCCTCCAGCACCCACTGCCAGGCAGCAAGAGAGCGCCCCCCCCCCACCCAGAAGGGTCAGATCCCGTGACTGCTGTAATGTACAGGGATAGGTAGCTGGGATTGGGGCAGTGGCACTTTAATGCCCCGTACACTACATGATGTTTTGATGTGGAATACTGAAACCCAAAAAAACAAAAAACATAAAACCATGACACCATCAACATTGGGACAAGGGCATTTGAAAGGAAGCCTTTTTTTCTAGTGGAAAGTGCGCAAGCAGTGTATTTTGCAGATTATGATATAAATCAGATGAAAGCTTTTCTTCCAGGAATGTGAAAGGAAGAAGAGAGGCTAAAATATGTATATACGTGTGTGTACTTGTATGTAAACATAAACATTACATATGTACAAATATAAATACACACAATACATATATTAAAGATCTATTCCTCCTTTCATTGAAGCAAGTGAAATTTTCTCATGGATTTTATTTTGTACTACAGAGGCACTGCTACAGCAACTTAAAAAAAAATACTGAAGTCTTGACTGGAGTTCCTAAACATCTGATAAGCCTATTGAATTCATGGGGCTTCTTCACATGCTTGGAGTTTGGCTTGTGTCTAAATGTTTTGCTGCAGCAGGGTCACAAGACCTCAACTCAGCTCTTGTTAAACTCAGTGGAAAGATTCCTTTTGATTTTAAGAGCAGTTGGAGGGATTTGCAGTCCGTCTTTTCTATGCTAATGCAGAGTGAGCCAGCCTTAATGCAGGAACATGTGGTATATGTTAAAAGTCGTAGAGGTTGTGAGCAGTAGCAACTTTCCACTGACAACATTTATCCAGATTGATTAAAAGATATGACTTAAAATGAGTTCCTCGATGGGTAGTTCCAGACAGTGCAGTGTGGAGCTGGGCCTGGCGGGAGGGTGCCAGGGAGCCTGGGAGGATGGCTGAAGGTCATCATTTGGATTTAACAGGGAGGCAGCTGTGCTGTCACACCCTGTGTACACCTGGGAGCGTGGGGGGAACTCCTGCTGTGTGGAGCTGGCGGCAGCTGGGAAGGAAGAGCAGCATTCATCCATCTTGGAGACTGGGACTTGGCTCTCATAGAGGCCAGATTTCTGGGGAAGAAACAACATGCTGAGAGTTGCTGCAACAAATGTAAAACAATCCTGTTTTGACATGTTCACATTAAGCTGGCTGAAAAAGCTTTGTTTACACTTGTCTTAAGTTACCTTGAGCAAATTATCCTGCTCTAAATTTCTACTGTTCCAGGGCTGATGGGCATCAGCAGAGGAAGTGCAATAAAGAGGTGCATCCCTGAGAGATAGGATGCATGTGTCTTTCATACTGAGAGAGCTGGATGGGCTACAGAGAAATGAGGCAATACTGTTCCACCTTACAATTCCAGCTCCTGGAATGTTACTTCTGGGCATTTCCTTAGCAAGAAGAACTGGAGGCAACTAAGAGAAGGCAATGCAGTTGTAAAGGGATGGTTCAGTAAAAATGACAAAAAATGAAGGTAAATGATAACTCTGTTGGGAGATATAATTACTTATGGCATTTTCAGGAAATGGATTGCAAGGAGTCTGAGATGAATAATCTAAGGACATAAAAGGAGATAATTAAGCACTGGAATTGCCTGAACATTTTCATCAATATTGGGGAACAAAGAGAGGAAAAATCATTTTGTTTTGACCATTCTATTGCAATGATAGAAGTAAGAGACAGTTCCAACTGATTTAATGCCATAAGTTATTAAGTAGGAATGAATGGCAAACCCCTCACTGTATTGCGTTCAAAGTGAGACTTAGAAACATTGAAAAATAGAATAAATAGGCGGACGAAGAATGATAAATGAATCAAAGTTATCTAAAGGTGGTTGATAAACATATTTCATTAAGGAATCACCTAAGTTTCAGTGAGTTAATCGTGGTAAATTTCAGAAATCTCTCCCTTTAAATAGGTTGAAGTTCAGCCTAAGGTGTTTCTTGACTCTCAGATGTGTATGCCATTCATTCAGGATAGTAATTTCCCTCATCTATCCATACAGGACCTCAGTTCTCTTTAGAAAAAAAAAAAAAAAAAAAAAAAAAAAAAAAAAAAAAAAAAAAAAAAAGTCTTCCATTTCTCAATCAGTAACCACTATTTTCTACTATCTTTTCATTTATGACAATGTTCTTGGTCCTTTACCCTGCCCTTTCCGTAATTTCATCACTCAAGTACTTCAGCTATTTCTCAGTGTTTTATGACAGCCTAGCTCCAATTGATATAAAAATGTAAGTTAGTTTCCTTGACAATCTTCCTAAACATTTTTGTTTCAAAAAATACGATAACATATAATTTTATTCTTTTTTAGTTAAGGCTGAAAATGTTCCCTTCATGAGAGTGGAACATAGGAAGGTCAAAAGATAAATGGATGTTGTCCCTTTCCTCCCAGTAACCTCGTAATACAGAAAACCTAACCCAAAATGCCATGGAAGACCTGGCACCAATGGCATCTGCTGCTTGCCTACATGTTCATCCCTACCCAACCTCTTCCATCTGTCATTGGACCCCCCATACCAAGAGCCAGCATCCAACTTTTGTCCTCACTTGGCTCTTCTTCCAGCCTGCTCTTACCTACAGCTCAGGAGCCCCTGTTGCTCCATTTCCTAATTGTTTCAAGTTTCAGTTAGGTTAACAAAAACAATACAAGGTATCTGGTAACTAACAAACTCAGATGGCAACGTTGCGCAATGTTTGCTTAATTAATTACTGTGGTAAAATTATGCTATTTTGTTACCCAACTAGAAATGATAGGCTGTTTAAAGTTTAGAAATTTGGTTGATAAGTGGGAAGATAAAAGTAATAGTATTGCTTGCTAGAGAGGGTAATCTAAAACTGTGTGGACTGAAGAACAGCTATGCTACATAATTGTGTGGTTTGGAGGAGTTCAGCACTTTTAGTATCCAGATGTTACGAGGCAATGAGATCCTGTTTTACTTTGAGAGAGGCAGACTTTGTTTCTCCCATCCTTTCTGTCCTGGGTGGATGTGTTACACATTCATACAAAGGTCTTATATCAGAACTGCTGCAGGTAAATTAATCTCCTTAAAACACCTTGAAGATGGCAGTAGTGTTTGCCCACTTCATCCAATGGAAGCAAACAAAGGAACACAGGACTTGTCCAAAATGAGGCACAGAGACCAGTGCAAAGGTGGGGCTTAGAAACCTTTAGTCTTTGATCCACAGCCTGTGCATGTTTGGCAAGCGGTTTCCTTGTTGGATGTTGTAGGCATGTTCAACCTTGCCAAGTGCTTGCCGTTCCTATCATACTTTTAGTTACTAGTATATAAATGATTAGTATTAGAGTTTTGTAAATGTGCTCTTTTGACAATGGCAAAATGACATCTAGCTTCAATGTATATAAATGAGCTTCATTCTTCTAGTTCAGAGTGCTAGTAAACTGGGTGTGGGTGGTGTAGCTTTTTGATAAAGACACCACTGGCAAATCTGACTACTCTGAGAAGAATAACAAGCCCAATACCAAAGTTTCTCCCGATGTTTCTGAAATCCCCAGGTGGATTTATTTACGTTTGCAATGTTTAATTCTCTCAAGGGAATGCTGACAAGTGTTCTGCTACTGAGGTAATGTCAGTGGATTTAGAGCTAGGCTGTGGTTGTTCAGCAAGATTTGAGCTCCTGCAGCAGTGTTCTACAAGGCAGATGTAGGCTCAGTGCTGTGAGCAGTTATCAATCACTACCTCCACCTTGGCAAAATTTCCTGGGAATAAATAAAGACAAGAAAAAAAAGAAATGTATATTCTTATCAGTGTTATTAGGAGTGACAAAACTAAGATAAGGAAGTTTTTTATGCTGGTTGATGTAGAGCCAGCAAACTCTTGGCAAAAATCCTTTGTCTGCCCCCAGGACAGCAGGGCAGCTATATGCTGGTTAGTGAACTAGTGAAAGCAATCAAATCCACCCATACTTGGAGCAGATACAACAGAGAGCTAGAGAAGCCACACTGTGATCTGTTAAAGGCACTTCATTATGCATTTGTGTTACTGGGGCATCTTTAATTCTCTGCAGTACAGCTGACTTCTTTGAGGATGGGAGAACAATTATGCTACACATTGAACAAGAAAGGAGCTCCATCTCCTGGATTAGGGGAAAGGGGGGGGAGGGGGAGAGGGGAGGGGCAGAACAGAAAACAGGAAGGGGAAAAGTCCATTTCCAGATAAGCATGTTGAAAGGTTGAAAACAGGTAGAAGTTTGCTTTTCTGCTCAGTTTACTTATTGATAGGAACTCAGTTCTTGGCTGGTTCTGCTTCTTGGATGCATCTGTTTAGGGTTTGCAGAATCTTTGTGCTCTGCTTTTGCAAATTTTAGTGTCAAGTGAAGAAAATGGTAAACTATCACGATGCTCACAGGAGACAACATCTGTTACTACTTATATAATCTTTTATTCAATTCTGTCATCAGGAGTCCTCATGATTACTTCAGTGTTGTCAACATGCATGCACACTCATCCACAACAAAATGCCTGCCTATCTAGTTATTTATCATCACAGAACAGTTTTCTTCATGTTATTGGCATTGTGACATGATTTCTCATTCTAATAAAAAATCTCACTTTACAAGAAGAAGTGCATGTCAAGGACCTTTCTGGTTCAACGCCGTCGAAATTCCTTACTTCATCATCTGTCCAGAACTAAACTTGTTGAGGGACATGAAAAATAACAGGAAAGGTT